TTCTGCAAGATGGCCCCAACAAAGCGACAAGAGAACCCAAAGAGCGCCCTGAGGGCTCCCTCAGGGCCCAAAGAGAGCTCAAACATGGCTCCACCAAGACTTGGAGATGCTCCCACAGCGAATGATCCGCGAAGGCCTTTAGAAGTGACACATATAATCGTGCTGCTATACGTCTGATCAGGGCGACTCGCTTGGGGATCGTTTCTGGATAAGCTGGCTGGAGGCCGTGAGGCGTTACGGGTACCACTGTACATCGAAGAATTGGTACACCACCGAGCACCAACACACATCCAGATACGAACGGATCCAAGTTAATACCCTGGTTAACAGTACCCCTGGGAGACCCAAAGCATGTCCCTGCTAGCACGTGCGTGCCATGAAGCTCTGCAGAGAGACCCAAAGCTGTCCCGAAATTGGCGGCACCGAAAGGGCCAGTTATGATTTTCCGAAGCCCACCCCTCCTCAAGGCCCATGTGCAACGCCTGCTGACACTTGATGATCAAATTTCAATTCACTAAGATGTGCATACGCCTCGTTATACGGCACTACCCAAACACTACCTTCGGACCCATGGTGGCCACATATTCGCCCCCCCATGAAGACCACAAAGCTGCGCTTGTTAGCATGTGATGGTAGTAGTCGTGAGGCTCAGAAGCGACAGCGAGCGAGTGTGAGTGCGAGCGGGTGATGGTGAGCGTCTGTGAGCGGGACTGAAAGGTGAAAGCGAGTGTGAGTGAGAGGGCAGGTGGTTGAGTGTGCGAATGGGGGATGTTAGCGTGGGCGATGCTTAATGAGAGTGAGAGTGGCAATGATTTTGAGAGGGGAAGAGCAAATAAAGAGGAACAAATAGTGAGGAGAAGATGGAGGAATGAAGGACAGATGCGGAGCAGACATGTCTTACCGACTCTGTCTCGGGCGGCCGCTAGATCTCAAGCAGTGCACAAAGACCAGCAGAAATACTTGGTAGTGAGCGTGACGATAGCACACAAGCTCAGCGAGACTGCACGCTGAGTGCAAATCTTACCTAGGGAACAAAGAAGAATTATCAACAAAACGTGAACTAAGTACAGACAGCGGTTAATAGTATATACGAGGGAATGATCTCAAAACCACCCACGAACTCGAGCGACATAAGATGTGCTAGATATGCAAGCCCATACACAATCCGGAGCGTCCTCGTCTTCCAATATATCGATTGGCCTCACCACGAGCCCACACATCATCAGATCATCATCACTCTCTCGTGCCCCACTCGTCCATCACGTTACCCTACGCTTGTCACCTGAGATTTCGCTCTGCGCTTCCGCCCATCAGCAGGACACGCTGGTGCCCCTTCCGGTCGCTATTATGTCCAATCGCTCCTGGTATCTCTCCTGCGCTAAGACCATATTCCCCCTTACTGGTTCATTCGTGACAAGCGGATACGCAAACAGACCCCCGCAATGCACACAGCCACAGGCAGATACATACAGAGGCATACACGCATGCACAACCAGCCAATGGCTCGTGGTGATGAAGTCCCCCAGGCAATGGTCACACTCTGGGGGGTCTCACGTGGCTTCTGAGGAGCTGGCCCTGCGCGTCGTAGTTGACCGTCGGCGCGCCTCTGCATTATGGTTTGTGTCGTGCTGGTTGGTGCCATATGGTTACAGTAGGTTGTGGGAAGAAAAAACGACCCTACCCTGGGTTACAAGTGCGTGGTCTGTAAACCTCCCGGGAACCCCCAAAGCCTAGAGAGCCGCCAGGACGCCGCACATCACGCAGGGTTTACCCTGTCAGCCCACAAGAGTTTCAGCGCACAGCGCCTCGTAAACCAGGTTAGGGGCGTTTTTATGCCCTTGAGTATGGGCTCGACCACAAGAAACCTTCAACAAGAAAACCCAACCCTGAGACCCCAGGATGTCCATGGATTTTGGGTGTGGGAACGTCACGCTTTCCTCAGCAGAACCCTCGAAACCCAAGAAACCTGGGGCATCCTGGAGGCAAGCAGGGTGTTTCTTGGCATGGGCCTCCACTGTGTGGTTCATGCCCCATGGTGCCGTGCTTGCCACGTGCTGCCCAGAGGCCGCGCCGGCCTCCTGAGGGGCCGTCGCTGTGCCTTCGGAGAAGGCTCTCGGAAGGCTGTTCGGGAGGCCGCAGACCCTCCGGGCCTGCTGAGAAGGCCCGCCCCCACGGACTTCCCCCCTGGGCTCGCCGCCGAGCGGTGCTCTGCAGGCCTCGGAAAAGTAGCGAACACGCATGCCACATTCGTCTGTCAACGCATCCCCCTCCCCCCAGTGTTCAAAGCTGGCGGTGGGTCTGATGAGTTCACCTCGACCGCAGACTCCCCCGCGCGTGCCAACTGTGAGTCTTAGGGGGGAGGGGGAGCGTCCAGTAATTGCTTCCCGCTACCGTCTGAGCAGCACTTGCTTGACGGATGGTACCCTGAAGGCGTCCTATGGCTGGGGCCACGTGGCCAGCACCCTGTACCTTAGACCCTGCACGCTGCGAGCAAGAGAACCTACAGCTTAGGGGCCCAAGCGCTGGCACCATGACACGCATGCGGGCAGCTGTCCCCCTCTTCAGCTTGCCCTTCCTCAGGAGGGGAAAAAACACACAGACACAATTAATCGTCGGTTCCCAAGAAATTATAGAAAAATATGGGAAGTGTGGGGGAAGACAGAAACCCAGAAAATGTAGGAAAATATGGGGAATGCTTTTATTTGTGTGTATTTATTTGTGTGTCTCAGGGCCCCTTCACCCCCGTGCTCTGTCCCTATGCTGCTGCTCCGTCTCCTGCTCCGGACCCTCTGGGGAGCTGCAGACTGCCGAGCAACGGCACAAGAACCCCCCCAAAAGCAGCCCCATGATAGGCCAAGACTGACCCCCAGCACGGCTCCGATGCGGCCCAAGAGCACCCTGAGATTGGCCCCAAGACCACCCCAGGCGGCGCCCAGTCCCTCCAAGGCAACACCAGGTCGCACACAGCCCTGGGCCCCCAAATCCCTCAAGGCAGCCCCGCGACACAAGATCTCCCGAGGCAGCCCAAGGAACTCCCAATCGCCCCTAGAGTTGAGTCGGGCGTGTCCCCCTACAGGCGGATATTGGAGGAGAAATTTAAAATACTCAGAACATACGCAAAAAACATTGAAACAATACTGAAAAATCGTCCCCTGACTATTTTTGACTATTTTTGAATATTCCTCCTGTCGAGGGACACGCCCGATTTAATCCTAGAGCCCCCAGAACAGCCAAACACCACCACAAGATTCCCCCCACGGACCCCAAATACGCCGCGCGACGCCGCGCCCCCCTGGGGCACTCAAGAGGCCTCGGAAATACACCCTGGAGGCATAACGAAAACCATGCTACGCGTGGCTGCAGAGCTCTCTTTCGTGACCGAAGCGTTTACATATTCACCTATTCAGTGGCGAACCAGTCGCACATACAGACTCTATCTGAGTCGCACTGTGATCCTCTTCATGTGCCTTCTACTCGCCCCCATCTGCCTGAGCAAACAGCATGCTCACGACGCAAACTCTACCCTTGATTCTCAAGTAAACGGAGCTACCGAGCCCTGATACCTCAGCACAAACGCATCCATACGCTGGTCCGTATCATTATCCTCACCTCCACCTCCCTCCTCCTCCTTCTCACCTCCTCTCCTTCCTTCTCCGCTTCCTCCTCCTCCTCCTCCTCCTCTTAATCATAATCTTGCTGCAGCTTCTCCTCGGTGTCCTTCTCCTCCTGCGCCTCCTCATTATTCTCTTGGTCGTACTCCAGCTCCTATACTGTCCTCCTCCTCCTCCTGTCTCCTCTTCTTTTTCGTACAGATCATCCTCCTTTCCCCCTCCTTTCCCCCTCCTCCTCCTCCTCCTCCTCCTCCTCCTCCTCCTCCTCCTCCAATATTATTCCTCTACGTCTCCCTTACCCATGCTTCTGATGTTCCTCCTCCTTCTCATCCTTTTCTTCCTCATCCCAGCCGCCCGACCTCAGTTCTCCCCCTCAACCCCTTCCTCCTCCACCCCCCTCCCGTTCCCCTCCCCCTGCATTCCCCCATCCCCCCGCCAATATCCACCATGGCTCCCAGCTCCCCGCGAGCTGGGGAAACCGAAAGGTACCGATACCGCTACTCCCTGGACCTCTCTTAGGGTGCGCTCGGATCAGACTTTCGAGGCGAATCCAGCCGTGGCGATGAGGGCCTCCCGGGAGGCCCAACAAGGCGAAAACGAGGCACCGGTAGCGTTGTACCGAAAATCTGGGAGGCCTTGCGCGGCAACTTGAGACTCAACTTACGTCGGATCCACGTCGGATGTACGCGGGGTCCACGTCGGATTACATCGGACGTACATCGGATTTACATCAGATTCACGTCGGACTGACGCCAGAGCACCGCTGCGCGAAGGCCGTCCCGTACCCTGCGGGGCAGACATGCAGCCTGCATCGTACGACCATTCGCGCCGCACGAGGCCTCCAGGATCTTCATGAGAAGTAGCGGCATCGGTGCCCCTCATCCTCCACTGATCGGGATCCACTAAACGGGGGGTGACCCGGAGGGGGGCATGAGTTTGATCCGCTAGTGCACCGCACTGCCGCAAACAGATGCCCCCCGCTTGCCCCACCTATCGGCAACTATCGGGAGCTGCCGGCGGCGTGGGGGCATCTGCTTTGGGCGGCTCGGTGCAAAACCGATCGAACTCACACACGCCCCGGGGCACGCGCACACACACACACACACCTGTTTGCGGGATCCCGATGCTCCTCTGACCCTCTCCCCTTCGGTGGCAACTCATGGGAGCCTCCCATACCATCTTGTCGGCTCTTGCGAATCGACGCTAGTCGACGCTAAATCGACGCTAATCGACGCCAGCAGTCGCGAAATCGGCGCTACCTCATCGACTCCCCGACGCTCATCGACGCTGAAGACGGAATTAAGAGGGGAGGGTGTGCCAGGCTCCCCTGACTTGCCACCGAACCCCCCCACTGCCCCCCAGTTCCCCCGGAGCAGCCCCTCGCCCGGCCTGGACTGCGACCCAGCCCGGGACCCCGCCCGCGAGCCGGGGCCGCCGCGGCTGGCGGCGGGCCGCCCGAAGCCTCGCCCGGCCCCCCGCTTGCGGCACGGCCGTGCAGGGGGGGGGGGATCGGAGGGGGGGCGCGGAGGGCAGCGCGCCTGCGAGGCAGGGAGGCGGAGACGAGGGAAGGCATGCCCGACCTTGGCTTCGGGGGGCAGTCTAAGCCAGGGCCAGCAGCTGGCTCTCTCTGGCTCCGCCCGGGGCGCCGCTGATGCCGACTCGGCTCCACCGCGCCCAGCTCCCAGCAGCACCTGCCTGAGCTCCAATAGGAGGAGAAAGATCACTACCCGCACTCTGCGGGTCAAGGGCTCAGGAAGGCGAGGGAAGAAGAGGATGAGGATGTGGAGGAGGAGAAGGAAGAGGGGGAGGAGGAGGACTATGAGGATTAGGGGGAGGGGAGGGAGGGGGAGGGGGAGGAGGAGAGGAGGAGGAGGAGGAGGAGGAGGAAGGAGGTAGGAGGAGGAGGAGAAGAAGGAGGAGGAGCAGGAGGAGGAGGTGGAGGAGGAGGAGGAGAGGAGGAGGACGAGGACGAGGTGGATGCGGAGACTGCGGAAGGGGGGTGTCGGGGCGAGGTGGAGGCGAGGTGGGGGGTCGGTGCCAAATTGCAGGGCGGCGGCTTCAAAAAAACAAAGGTCCCAGAAGGTGGGGGTATCGGGGCGATGTGGAGGCGAGGTGGGCGCAGGAGGGGGCGGTGGGGGGTTGCAGGGAAAGGAAGAGGAGGAAGAAAAAGAGCAACCCCGATCCCCTAACCGTCGACATGTGAGGGCTTCGGAGAGCAATATCGAACATGTTGTGTACGAGTCGCACACGCATATTGCGAAACCAGCTACCAAACCTAAGTATGAGGCGCTGCGGTCGTCCCTGGCCCCCTCCCTCTCCCTCTCTCCACTTCCCTCTCGTTCCCTCCTCCACCTCCTTCTCCACCCTCATCCTCATCATTATAACCACCCTTCCCATTACCACCACTCCTCATGTCGCTGTTGCTGCTGTTCCCACTCCTCCTCCTCCTCCTCCTCCTCCTCCTCCTCCTCCTCCTCCTCCTCCTCCTCCACCTCGTGAGAGGAAGGGGAGAAGAAAGACAAAGACGACTGGAGGAGGCCACCAAGCGCGACAACCTGCCCAGGGCGAACAGAGCGCGCAAGCGGGGAGGGATGGATGGCTGATGACGGGCGGATCGGGCGAGGAGGGAGTCAACTAGGACGACGGATACACACTTGCAGACGGTAGCAGCATTCTCGCACGACGGTTGCAACAGCTCGACCCCCAAGGCGGCCTGGACGGCACAGCAATTCGACGCCGGGGGGGGCCGACGAGAGGGACGGGAAGGAGGAAAAGGGGGAGGGCGGAGAAACGCGCGCGGCGAGCGCCACGCTCGACAGCGCGCCCTCCCGCGGAGGCGATGGGAAAACAGAAAGATGCCCACACCGCTACTCCATGGACGCTTCCTGGGCGGGGTTCAGAGCAGAATCTCGGGGCGAATCCAGCCGTGACGACGAGGGGTCCCTAGGACGAGCAGTGGCATCGGTACAGATGTTTCCCTCCCCTATGAAGCGAATCTCAGCCTGATCGCCAACGCGCACTTCAGACCACGCGCGGCCTTCGCCGCGCAGGCCCGCGGGCGTTGGTGGCGAACACATCGTGGACCCCGCGAGGATGAGCATCGCACGACATATCCCTATCCCCGCTGGCGTCGCCTTGGCCCTCATGGCCGACTTACCCACCCACACCATTTTGAACAAGTAATGCAAGTCTCGCGCGCAGTCTGTCCCCCCGCGCCCCTCAATGTCAATGTTCGCGCAGGGCGCCGCGCGATCCGACCTTTCCGCCGTCGGCCGCGGCTGTGTTAACATTGGAGAGAGCGTGATCCACCGCCGCTTTACTGTGGAAAAATCCCCCCCTCTTCCTCCAGAACCCGGGGGTACCCTCCCCCCTCCGAAAATGCCCCCCCCCCCTGCTGGACCCCCCCCCTTTCTCCCTGTAAAACCCCCCCTCTCCCCTAACCCCCCCCTCCGGAAAACCGAGGGGGGGGTCACTACCGGTTCGAACCCCCACCCCTCCCCTCCGGAAAACCGGCAGGGGTCACTACTGGTTCGAACACCCCCCCCCTCGAAAACCGGGGGGGGTCACTACCGGTTCGAACCCCCGTCCCTCGAAAACCGGGGGGGGTCACTACCCTCCCCTCCAGCGCTCACCGCCAGCAAACGACTCCCGGTCCCTACCACCGTCCGCACCACATCCCCCACTGCTGTCCCCAGCGCCACTGTCCTCACCACCACTGTCCCCACTGGTTTCACCACCGTCCCTACTGTCCCCACCAGTGCCCCCACCACTGTCGCACTGTCCCCATTGTCCCCACCACTGTTCCCACCACGGTTCCACTCTCCCCCACTTTCTCCACGGCCCCAACCACTGCCCGACTGCCCCCACTGTCCCCACTGTCCCACTGTCTCCTCTGCTGTCCCACTGAGCTGTCCCACTGTTCCCACCACTGTCCTCACTGTCCCCACCACTGTCCCCACTGTACCTCTGTCCCATTGTCCCACCGCCGTCCTCGCCACAGCCCTCATCACTCTCCCCACCACCACTGTACCTTCCACTGTCCCATTGTTTCCACCACATTCCCACTGTCCCCACACCGTCCCCACCACCACCGTCCCACCACTGTCCCACTGTCCCCACTGTTCCCACCATTGTCCACCACCGTCCCCACCACTGTCCCACTGTCCCCACTGTTCCCACCATTGTCCCCGCTGTCCCCACCAGTGCCCCCAGCAGTGTGCCAATGTCCCCACTCTCCACGGCCTGGCGGTAAAGGGGAGAGGGGGGGGTTTCGAACCGGTAGCGACCCCCCCACGGTTTTCGAGGAGGGGGGGGGTCGAACCGGTAGTGACCCCCCATGGTTTTCCGTAGGGGAGGGGGGGGTTGGGGGGTTCGAACCAGTAGTGACCCCCCCCCTTTTCATGATGGACTGGGGGGGGGAGGGGTTCGAACCGGTAGTGACCCCCCCTGGTTTTCCTGAGGGGGGGGGGTCGAACCGGTAGTGACCCCCCCCGGTTTTCCGCCAGCAGCGGTAGAACACGCTCTTTCTAACATTGAGATCGCTCGTCCAGGGGTGGTCAAGAAATTGGAAACATTACATGTCCATGGGGTGTCGGCGGGGATGTATGCATGCTCCTTCGGGTTTCGTAGGGCCTATCCCCACCTGGGAGGGTGGGCTCATGGGGGTGATATACCGTGGCCCCATGGGCACAGGGATAAGGTAGACTATGCTGACTTGCTGTCCACCCGAGGGAAAGGGGGACCTTCCCTGAGATCCGACGTTGCGAAAAAATGCAGCGTCGCGAAAAGTTACGGCCAGACCCCACACCCCATCTTGCTGCGGTGACAATCCAGGGCCCGAAACCAAACGAAAACGCCTGGTGTGAAAAAGTTGCAACGCCAAGATCTCAGCGCCACTCTAACAGGGACTTCACTAACGGGTACTTTGGCCAGTGGCCCGGCGAACCCAACCCTCCCCGATGTGGGCAACACTTCAATGCCAATAAGGGCCCCTAAAATGGCAACTCTCCGCAAATCTCTAGAGCATTCCCATTAGTGGGCACCCGTTGCGGTGTCGCTGAGGATCTGAAGGGAGGTCGAGGCCGCGAGGGCGCGCCGCAACATCCGCGGTGCCCCCTTTGGTGGGCGGATGTTTACGAGGAGGCCTTCCAGAGGTGCGCGGAGGCTCCCGAGGGGGCGCAGCAGGGGCCAAAAGCGCACCCTCGATCCTCGATCCTCCGCCTCCCCTCCATCTATGTTCCTTAAAAGCAGCTCCGCCCTGTCCTACCAACAGACGTGTCGACAAGGCGGGCTGGGCGTTTCGCCTGACATGTCAACACCATTCACGATCCTGAAGCTTCAATATTTGCGGCAACTTCAAGGATGTAGGGCAGGTGGTTTTCAACATGTTGCTCTCGTGCTGGCGCCGCGCACATTCGTGCTAAAACATTGAGCAAATTCAAGGATGAAATGAAATTATGATTCAAAATGTGGCTCTCGCATTAGCACCGCGCAAATTCGTTTTAAAACTGTACAGCTCTCCAAGGATTCGTATGATCGAAGTCCCAGGAGCGGCGTTCTCGCACACATTGGGCTTGTCAGGAAGCAACACTCAAAGTTGATCCGCGGATCAAGACCCAGGCACGGTGCTCTGGCACAGTTTAGGACTGTCAGAACGCAGTGCGAATATTGAATCGGGACGCTGACGTCCCAGGAACAGCGCCTCGGTACGATTTAAGAGTGTTATGAAGCAACAGTCATGTTGACTCGCAACGCTGAAGTCCTATGAAAGGTGGTTTGTCACGATTGAGGATTCTCAGACTCTTTTTTTTGGGGGGGGGCAGTTCCCGCAATGGAGATATACTACTGTAGAACCCAATGGAGAAGGAACTTGGAGGGAGGATACATTGCAATATCATTGATGCGCCTCGGGTTAACACTGTTCCTCCTGCTCCTCCTCCTCGAGCTCTTCCTCCTACTCCTAGTCCTGCTCCTCCTCCTGTATGGGGGCCGCGGGAAGGATGACCCTCAGGCAAATTTGACTGTTTGTGGGAGAACTGAGAAAACGGCACAAACGTAAACTTTTGGCGCTCCGCACGGACTTCTTGCAGCTGCGCTGGACCCCTCTCCCTGGCGCGCGGCTCACGCCAGGGGCGGCGCCGCAGGCGCCGCCCGGGATGCCCAGAGCGCGGATCCAAGCAATCCGCGCGGAGCGCCGGAGAAGTGTATGATCATGCCGTGTCTGCTTCTTCGAAGAAGGCCGAAAAACCTCGGAAGCTCTTTTCCCCAGGACCGCTTTCATCCATCGCGTGCCCCCACGCCCCGTCCCCAGCCCGCCGCTGGCAGCAGCGCCCAGAGGCGGCCTGGAGCCAGACGACAAAGAGGAGCCCTTGGCACGGGCCGGCGTCAGCGGAGGGGCGTCCTCATCTTCGACGTCCCCCGCCGCCTCCTCCCCCTCCCCCTCCTCCTCGCCCTCGTCCCGGTCCGCATCCTCGTGCTCGTCCCCAACCTCCCTCCACCTCGCCATACCCTTCCGCATCCGAATCCTCCTCGTTCTCATCCTCCCTCCTCTTCCTCGTACCCGTCCACACCCACCTCACCGTCCTCTTCCTCCTCCTCCTCCTCCTCCTCCTCCTCCTCCTCCTCCTCCTCACCTCCTCCTCCTCCTCCTCCTCCTCCCCCTCCCTCCTCCTCCTCCTTCCTCCTCCTCCTCCTCCTCCTCCTCCTCCTCCTCCTCCTCCTCCTCCTCCGCCTCCGCCTCCTCCTCCCCTCCTCCTCCTCCTCCTCCTCCTCCTCCCCTCTCCTCCTCCTCCCTCCTCCTCCTCCTCCTCCTCCTCCTCCTCCTCCTCCTCCTCCTCCTCTCCTCCTCCTCCTCCTCCTCCTCCTCCTCCTCCTCCTCCTCCTCCTCCTCCTCCTCCTCCTCCTCCTCCTCCTCCTCCTCCTCTCCTCATCATCATCATCATCATCATCATCATCATCACCACCACCACCACCACCACCATCATCATCATCATCATCATCATCATATCATCATCATAATCATCATCATCATCATCATCATCATCATCATCATCATCATCATCATCATCATCACCACCATCACCATCATCATCATCATCATCATCATCATCATCATCAGCATCATCATCATCACCATCACCATCATCATAATCATCATCTCCACCACCACCATCATCATCATCATCATCGCCACCACCACCACCATCATCATCACAATCATCATCGTCATCAGCACCAGTCCCATCACCACCATCATCAGCATCACCAGCAGCGTAACCATCATCATCATCATCATCATCATCATACCAATAATACTAAAGATAATCATCATCATCATCATCATTATCACCACCACCACCACCAGCATCATCATCATCATCATCATCATCATCATCATCATCATCATCATCTGCATCTGCAGCAGTATCCACACCCTCTCCTCCTCCTCCTCCTCCTCCTCCTCCTACTCCTCATGATCATCATCATCATCATCAGCAGCAGCATCGTCGTCGTCGTCGCCACCGCCGTTGTCCTTGTCACCATCATCAGCATCATCATCATCATCAGCATCAGCATCATCATCAGCATCATCAATGTGTCGTCGTCGGCGGCGTCGTCGGCATCGTCACGGTCGTCGTCATGATCATCATCACCATCATCATCATCATCATCATCATCATCATCATCAGTATCATCATCATCATAATAATCGTCATCGTCATCAGCAAGTTGATGAACATCATCATCATCGTCAGCATCATCACTATCATCCTCATCACCATCATAGTCATCATGATCACAAACGTCATCATCATTATCATCATTATCAGCATCATATCATCATCACCACCAACATCATCATGCCCATCATCACCACCACAATCATCATCATAATGGTAAATGTCGTCATCATCAGCATCATCATCAGCAGCAGCATCGTCGTAATCATCAGCACCATCATCACAGATTCATCATCGTTCATGTCGTCGTCGTCGTTGTCGTCATCGTCGTCATCGTGGCCCTCATCCTCGTCGTCATCATCATCACCGTCACCAGTGTCATCACCATCATCACCATCACCAGCATCGTCACAGGCAGCATTATCATCCCCAGCAGCACCATCATCAGCATCAGCATCAGCATCAGCATCAGCATCAGCATCAGCATCATGATCATCATCAGCAGCATAACAATCATCATCAACCATACCTGCGTCGCCACAAAAACCGTCATCAGATAACTACTAGCATCATCATCATCACCACCATCGCCATGATTATCATTACCATTACCATCACTATCACCATCACCACCATAATCACCATCTCCATCACCATCACCATCACCATCTCCATCACCATCATCATCACCATCATCAGCATCACCACCATGATCATCATCAGCATCATCACCACCACCATCATCATCACACTACTCATCATCATCATCATCATCATCATCATCATCATCATCATCATCATCATCATCATCATCATCATCATCAACTACATTTCCATCACCATCATCATCATCATCATCAGCATCAGCATCAGCATCAGCATCAGCATCATCATCATCATCATCGTCATCATCATTATCATTATTATCACCACCACCAGCAGCATCATCAGCATCATCGTCAACATCATCATCGTCGTCGTTATGGTAGCATCGTCATCCCAACCACCACCAGCACCAGCACCGTCATCCTCAACATCATGATAATCATCACCATCATCGTCGTCTTAGCCGTGGTCGTTGCCATCATCACCACCTTCGTCATTCATCACCATCATCAGCCAGACCATCAGGAGCAGCATCTGAGCATCGTTTATCCGACCACCATCCCCAGCGGCGTGGCCTGAGCCCCACTGGCCGATGTACCTCCCTAGGTGGGGACATATGCAGGCCCTTGCCTTCGGAGTTCGAGGGGTGCATCCCCAACTGGGGTGGTAATTTGGCGGGGGTCTCGGAGGGGATGAGGGTGGGGATGGGGGTCGGCTAGACGATACCGAGCATCACCACCGTCGTTGCCATCGCCACCACCACCACCACCACCGTCACAGTCATGTCGGAATCAACCTCGGTCGCCGGCCCCGCCAGCTAGCCTTAGGTCGGGCGTGTCCCCCTACAGTGGGGTTTTTGACGAAACATTAAAAATACCCCCAAAATAATAAAAAATAGTCCAAAAATAGTCCGGGGACTAATTTTTTCGTATTTTTGAACCTGTTTGGAGCATTTTTGGGGTATTTTTAATTTTTCGGCTCACGGCGCATCCCCTCCTGGGCGCTGCCGCGCCTCGTGGCGGCACGCGCGCTTGCGAGCACTGGGCGCAAGCCGCGCAACCTCGGGGGGCCCCGCGCCTCCGCGGCCCCGGGCTGCCCTGCGAGGTTCCACGAGGCCCCAGGAGATCCCGAGAAGCCCCTGGAGTTTCCTGAACGACCCGAAAAATTCCAGAACGCTGAGGACGCCCCTGGAGTGCTGAGGATACCCTGGGAGAGCCTTGGAGGTCTCAGGAGATCCCCAGAGGCCGCTGTCCCAGGAGGCCCCCGGGATACCCAGGAGGCCCCCTGAGGTCCCATGGTCCATCACGCCGAAGGTGGTGTGGGGGAGGAGGAGGAGGAGGAAAAGGAGGAGGAGGAGGAGGAGGAGGAGGAGAGACAAAAATGATGATGAGGAGGAGAACGCGGTAAGGCTAGCAACAAGCGTCACGACGACGTTCCAGAGAGTGGCTGTGATTAAATTGGTTTCTACCCCCGCGAGGGGCGTTACAGGGTATTTGTATTTTGGGGTGACGCCGATGGTTCGAGGTCCCAGACGGGGGCTGCGGCAAGGGAGAGCTTTGCCCCCTGGACTCCCTCTCGAAGGGGGGTCACGGAAGGGAGGTCGATGCCTCGCGCTCGATCCCAGTTACTCGCACTCCTACTCGTCGTACTCGTCGTTCCCTCACGAGATTCACGAGATTGGGTCGACGCTGGCTCGGCACGAAATCGAATCATATTGATCGGCATCGGAATCGATCGGGTGACCTCGACATGGGAGCCACGCATCGGAGTTTCGGCATGGAATCGCCCCCCCCTGAACTCGCTGCGAATCGAACCAGTGGAGTCGGACTGAGCCTTCGATAAGGCCGCACCTCGCTGAACGGTGCCCGTCAACAGGTTTTTGCAACGCTGGCGCCTACATTTGGGGTCTGTGGGCTCTGTTTGCAAAAGCTGGAGCGACCATGGAGGTCAGAATTGCACCGCTCCATTGCCGGTCAGAGGCGTGCTCCTGTTCAGGTAAGAATTGCGTGCCAGGCGAGTCGAGGCCCCCCCAAAGGCAGTGACAGTGCAGAGCAGCACGCGAACGAACGACGCACGATTGGGTTGAATGGCGGCACGGTGCGTCCCCTGAAGATCATGGCCTCGCAACAACATCAGACGATGCTAGTGGCTGCATCGAAAAGGAGAAGCAACAGAAGACGACAGCAGCGGGGAGACAAAGCCGGGCCGAGGTAACTGAAGGCGCCCCAGGACACACAAATAAATACACACAAATAAAAGAATTCCCCATATTTTCCCATATTTTCTGGGTTTTTGTCTTCCCCCCCACTTCCCATCTTTTCCCATATTTTCCTGGGAATCGACGATTAATTGTGTCTGTGTGCTTTTTCCTCTCCTGAGTAACTCCGAGACCTCTGAGAGTCAGCGCACCTGGAGGGTGCGTCGGGCGCCGCGGCCGCTCCACACCGCTCCGCCAGGCTCTCGCTGGAGCGAGCTGTCGTCTGCCCGGGCATGCCCGACGACAGCTCTGGCCCCTCAGGTGGGAGGTGGGAGGAGGAGGTGGGAGGTGGGAGGAGGAGGAGGAGGACGACGACGAGGAGGAGGAAGAGGCGGAGGAGGCGGAGGAGGAGGAGCAGGAGCAGGAGCAGGAGGAGCAGCAGGAGGATGGGAGGAGGAGGAGGAGGAGGAGGAGGAGGAGGAGGAAGAGGAATAAGAGGAGGAGGAGGAGGAGGAGGAGGAGGAGGAGGAGGAGGAGGAGGAGGAGGAGGAGCAGGCGGGAAGACAGAGCGGACCCGCCGACCCGCGCATGGCCTGCTGGGCCGCCGAGCCGGGCCGTGGCGGGAACTCCCGCGACACCACGTAGGCGCTGCCCGGCCTCTTCTTGGGGGAGGGCGGAGGGCGGAAGGCGGAGGGCAGCGGGAAGGAGAGGAAGGGCGACGCGAAGACGAGAGGGCAGGGGAGGAGATGGGGGAGGGGAGGGGGAGGGAAGGGAGAGGCCGAGGGGGAGGCAGTGCACATCTGGCAGGTGACTGCTGGGGCGCCACGCGCGCACGCGCGCAGCGCGCCAAGGCCTCCGCGCAGCGCGGGCGCAACATGCAGGGGAGCCGCGCTCCTCGAGGCAGGAAGCTCTCGACCTTCTCGGCACGGGGTACTTACGCAGCGGCGACCCGTCCAACGGACGGCTGTGCGACGCTCGCCAGCGTCAGACGCAGACACTAAAACGTTTCGATCGAGGCAGGGGTCAAGACCACTTCTGCGCCCAGCGCAAACAGGGCGCTCGCCGCTAACGGCGAGGCCTGGGAAGGACTGGAAGGAGGGCTGGAAGATGGACGTGGAAGATCTGCCGCTACGTCGGCGAGCTGCGGCTGGGACTGCGCTCAACGCGCTGTCAGGCCGGCCCGATTGCTGCCGCACGCGAGCTCGCGCACCGCGATGGCAGCGGCCACGGCATCTTTGAGAGCTGGGGGCGACCTCCCCGCCGCGCTGGCAGTGGCCTCTGAAGGCTCGCCGGCCGGGCCTCGGTGGCAGCCACTCGCCTGAGATCCGACGTGGCGAACAAAACGTTCAACATCGCGCAAGATATCATGTTTCGGGCCGGATCGGTCTGTGATGGCCACGGGGCTCGAAACTGAGCTCAGACGCCCGGTGTGAGAAAATGCAACGCCCGGGTCTCAGGGAGAGAGTGATCTCCTGGAGCTGGCGGGGTGCCATCGGGAACGTTGGCGCCGACTGCCACGCTCGACTGTTAGACAGCCACATGTGACCCCTGCCCTCCTACCCCTTAAGGCTGGGTTTCTGGAAATACTGGCGGGGGTTCAGAATGTGAAGAACGATTGCAGCCAGGTGGACCCGAGCGGAGGCGTCCGATACCCCAGCGTCGGGTGTACCTGCATAGATTCGCGAGTGCTCGCAGAACCGTTGGCAGTCTACACTAGCAGCGTCAGGGGGGTGGCGGGTGGCAGGAGTGGCAGGTGGGGGGAGGGGGGAAGAAGGAAGGAGAGGCGAAAAGAAAGTAAAAAGTGGGCGAGAGGGAGACAGCAATAAGCAAGAGCAAGGGCGGAGGAGGAGGGAACAGAAAGGCGGAGAGGAAGGATGGGAGATAGGGGAGGGGAGAGGGAGGACGGAGAGGGATGTGCTTGTTTAGTTGGAGCGCAGACGTGGCACAAATGAATCGACTGGGTTAACCGCCTGGGATGGGGACCCAGTGCGGGTGTGTGGGTGCGTGCTGTGTGTGTTGAGTGTTTTGTGTGTAGTATGTGGTGTGTGTACGTGTGTATGTATGTTGTGCGTGTGTTCTGTGTAAGTTATGTTTTGTGTTGTATTGTGTTGTGTTGTGTGCTGTGTTGTGTGTACTGTGTGTTGTGTGATGTGTGTATGTGTGGTGTGCTGTGGTTGTTGTGTGCGTTGTGTGTGTGCCGTGTGTGTGCTGGGTATGTTGTGTGATGTGTGTGGTGTGATGTGTTGTGGATTAGGTGTGTTGTGTATTGTGTGATGTGTGCTATGTGTGTGTGTTGTGTGTGTGTTTTGTGCGTTGTATGTTGTGTGTTGTGTGTATGCTGCGTTTTGTGTGCGTGTTGTGCTGTGTGTGAGTGTGTGCTGTGTTACGTGCTGTGTGTGGTGGGTACTGTGTGCTGTGTGTTGTGTGTTGTGTTGTGGTGCATTGTGTATTGCATGTGTTGTGCGTGTTGGGTGTGACGTATGATGCGTGTGGTGTGTGTGTGTCGTGTGTAGGTGTTTTGTGCGCTGTGTGTTGTGTATTGTGTGTTCCGTGTTGTGTTTTGCGTGTTATGTGTTATGTTGTTGTGCAATGTGTGCGTTGTGTGCGCTGTGTGTTGCACGTGTTGCGCATTGTCGTATGCGCTGTGTGTGTGTGTCTGTTCTGTGTTGTGTTGTCCCTCGCAAGCAACCCTCGCAAGAACCCTCGCAAGGCACAGTGCGGGCGCGGCCGCAAGGAACCCTCCCAAGATACCCAACCCCGAGAGCCCGTGCGCGAGGTGCACTGGAGGGAAAGCCTGGAGCACCCTGAACGCAGCAGCTCCTTCAGCGGCCGCGAAGAAGTAAAGGCGCCGCGCGCGGAGCAAAGAAACACCCAGGATGCCCTGACGAAAAGTGGATGATTTCTTGATGCGCGCCCCCACTGTATATTTTCATGTTCTCCTCTTCGTAAGCACGCCTACGCAAGAGCCTGGTTCGGCGGTGGACAAACCTCCCTTTAGTAAACCTCTTCTTAGTGAAAACGGCCTGGGGCCGAATTCGACGGACCTGGACCCGCAAAGATGACGGCCGCGACGCCCCGACGCGAACCGAAAACGGCCAATTCCTTAATCGAGGTGTCAGGGTAGGAGGTCTATCCACCTCCAACTGTTTGTTTTAGATCCCGGCAAATTGGCTTGCATGGACGGGGGGCGGCCTGAGCCTGAAGCAAGCCGCAAACGACTTGCATGCTAGTATCACTTCGAAGAGGGGCGAGGGGGGAAGGGTTAGGTCGGGCATGTCCCCCTACAGGCGGATTTTGGACGAAAAAATCTAAAATAGCGAAACAATACTCCAAACAAAATTCAAAAATACTGGAAAAATCGTCCCCTGACTAATTATGTCTTCGACTATTTTTGAATATTCCTCCTGTAGTGGGACAGGCCCGACTACAGGGGCGGGGCAGAGGGGGGGGGGGGGGGGGGGGGGGGGGGGGGGTGGGGGGGGGGGGGGGGGGGGGCGAACGCCATGGGCACACCCTCCGACTGTTTGCGTGCCATCGCTTTTTCCCAGAACCCCGCCCTCCCGAGCCCGCGCCCTCCGTCCCGACGCGTCGCGCGCCTACCTCGGCTGCCTCTGGGCGCGAGCTCTCGAAGCCCCCTCCTGGAGGGGCACCCGGGGGGGGGGGGGGCCCGACGCAGGCGGCCTGGCTGCCAAATGGATGCGGGATGGTGGCGCGTCCCTCAAAGCCGGGCGACGGCTGGCAAACTCGCGGCTGCTAAAACGGAGCTCCGGGAAATTGTTGTTTTTCTTCTGGGAAGCAGCCCGTTTAGTGTTCAGTTCGCCGAGCCTTATTCCGGGAGTTTGTTTCTTTCCTCCGGGAAGATCGTTTTAGCAGCCACGAAATTGCCAGCCCTGGCCCAGCTTCTCTGAGTCCCTCTGGAGGAAGAAGGAGCGGCATGAACCTAACTTCACGAAGCTTGGCGAGGACTCCTCGGATCGGCGCTGGGAGGCGCCGGAGGCACCGCCAGGGGGGGGGGGGCCAGCGCCAGTCCAAGAAATCCGCGCGGAGCCCTGGCGAATGGTGCTCCTGCCGTTTTCTGCGACTCCATTCCTGCCGCCGTCCTGCCACCCTCCTGCGCGCTGCTGGGGCACCTGCACCCGCTCCTGGGTGCCCGCCGGGGTGGCGCCGATGCCGTCGCGGCGGCGGCCGCCGATGGGAAGGGGGGCGGGAGGCCTCGTGTACTCCTGGACGAGTCCTCGTCTGCCGGGCTCCTCGTTCATCTGGCAGTCGCGGCGCGAGCGCGGGCAGAGGGCGCGCTGGGGCAAGGGGCGAGCTCGCGGGCTCCCTGCGGACGTCCGGGCAAGATGGGACACGGTTCCCAGAAGGCCACGCTACTACGACCACGACTACCCAGCGTGGACCACACACACAAAGGGATAGACGGAGCAGCAGGACAGACACACGAATGACGCCGAACCAAGTAGAAACAACCCTAGGCTAGGACGAGCGAGCTTACTACCATACAAGCTGAGCTGGAAGATGCTAGGCTAAGTAGCTAACCAGCTAAGCCAGGACATGCGCTGAGCGAAGCTAAACCCACCTGAGATGCGCAATCCCAACTTAAACTGCAAGGTTTGGCAACCACTGGGCCAAGACAGGCCAAGCTAGGCCGTGCAAAGCTGAACCAAGGACAGGCTGAGCTAGAGAATGCACGGTCGCACGCGCGCGTCAATCGGCACGTGTGCTCGATGGCGGAGTGTTAGAATGCGCGGTGGTTGTCTGGTAAGGTTTCTGTAGTTTTCCAAGGCCGATCCCACCCCATTCGTAGTCACGCCCTCCGAAATCGCCTCCTCAAAGGTCTGTACCCAGGCGCCTTCTTCGGCATCTGGACAGCTCCAGGACGGCCAGATTCTGCTCCAAGAACTGCTGCGGGATACCCGAATACCAACCTGAGACGGCCCACCAGAGGGTCCAACATGTTCGCAGGAGACCTCAAGAGACCCCAAGAATCACGAGAGGCCCCCCCGAAGGCCAAAGAGGCCTCCGACGAGGCCCGAGGAGGCCAGGCACAGCGACAACCAGCAAGGTCATGCTCCTGACGCTCTTCCGCTCCAGACCGCCTCGGGACAGCTCCAGTCCAGAGAGCCCTGAAGGCCCCCCAACGGCCCAGGACCGCCCCCGAGAGGGCCGCAGGAAGGGCCGCGGGACTGCCCGAGGAGCCCCTCCTCAACGGGGCCGCAAGACGGCCCCGAGACCCCGGGGAGAGCTCGCTAGAACCCTCGCGCGCCCAGGACGAGCCCGGCTCCCTCGACGGGCCCCCCAGGGTCCCCACAGAGGGGAGGAAGAGGGGGGGGGGATGGAGGCTGCGAGCACGGAGGGAGGTTCCTCCCCCTCCCCCTCCTCCTCCTCCTCCTCCTCCTCCTCCTCCTCCTCCTCCTCCTCCTCCACCTCCTCCTCCTCCTCCTCCTCCTCCTCCTCCTCCTCCTCCTCCTCCTCCTCCTCCCTCCTCCTCCTCCTGTCCTCCTCCTCCTGCTCCTCCTCCTCCTCCTCCTCCTCCTCCTCCTCCTCCCTCTCCTCCTCCTCCTCCTCCTCCCTCTCCTCCTCCTCCCCCTCCTGTACTGCACTGGAAGGGGTCTTAAACTCACAACCTCGATCCTGCCGCACTGCCTGCGCTGGCGCGGCGGCGGGAAGTGCTGCAGGCAGCTGGACGGAGAAGACGAGCGCGGCAATGGAGTGTTGCACAGCCGCCGAGCCTGGCGAGAGCGCAGACATTGAGAGAACTTGGCCGCGAGGCTAACCCTGCGCAGAAAACGCCCCGAAGCTCGACGGCCCGGTGACAGTAGGAATGGCCTCCTATGCCTTTACCATCACCTTTTGCGGCTGAGGCGACTGCCTCTGTCTCCCTCTCTCTCTTTCCCTGTTTCTCTCTTGCTCTCTCTTTCTCTTTCTCTCTCTTTATTTCTCTCTCTCTCTCTCTCATTATTCCCCCCTCTCTTTCTCTCGATCTATGTTCTCTCTCTCTCTCTCTGTCTCTCTCTCTCCCTCTCTCACTCCTCCCCCTCCATGCTACTATTGCTCAATCCCTCTATATCTCTCTGTTTACATGAGTTCGTGCCTATATCTGCCTCGCTCTCTCTCTGTCTCTCTTTCTCTCTCTCTCTCTCTCTCTCTATCCCTCTCTCTCGCTCTATGTGTCTCTCTCTCTCTCTCTGTATAGATATAGTTGTATATATATATATATATATATATCCCTCTCTTTCTCTCTTACCATCTCTCTATGCAGCTAGATGTGTGCCTATATATATGCGTATGTATATATATATATATATATATATATAGAACCATCGCGCGCGCACCGCGCGCGCTCGAGTTCTAGCTGGGATCCTCGTAATCGTCACCATCGCCATCCTCATCGCCAGCATCTTCATCGTCATCGTCATCGACATCGTCATCATCACCATCACCATCACCAGCAACACCATCATCATCACCACCACCATCAGCAAAACCATCGTCATCACCGTCGTCATAATCGCAATCGTCATCATCGTCAGTATCGTCACCCGCATCACCATCATCATCGTCACCGTCGTCATCATCGTCATCATCGTCATCATCATCATCAGCATCGTCGTCGTCGTCACCGTAGTCATCATCACCATCGTCATCGTCATCGCCATCATCGTCGTCGCCTTCGTCGTCGTCGTCCTCGCCCTCAGCATCCCTCTCCAAGACCGAGCGTCTTGGTAACTGAGGTTGTGGACCTGAGGCCGCCATGCCTGGGTGATGGGCCAGTGGCCTGCTGGATGCCTGTTCGAAGATGGGTGGTGGAAGTTTTTCGGAGGCCTCTTGAAGAGCTCTAGGGGGGCTCTTGGGTACTTCGTGGTTGCCTCTTGTTCCAGACAAGCTGACCCGTGGCGTAAAGTACCAGCAATGCACCCTCACCCCCAGCGACCTTGAACTGCCGAGAACCGTTGCTGATAAGCCGCTTCCGCTTCCTTGAAACCGTTAGTTAAAACGACAAGCCGAAGACACGGATCAACCGATGCACTATTCAACTGACAAGCCGCCGCCGATGAACCGATAAACCTACCGAACAAACTTATGAGCCAAAGGGCCCATGCGCAAACGAAGAGCCCGGGATCATCGTTTATCGGTTGACGGTGGCATCAACCCATAGACCGATAGAATCATTCCGGTGTACCTGTCGTTCCCCCCGTCAACTGGTAAACCTTTATCATGTAACGGTTGAGCGGTTGATCTGTTTGTGTGTGCTTGGGGGGGAGTTCTCTGGCTGCAATCCGTCGTATGTTCTTCGAAGAGGAGAGGGGATGACGAGCATGGTGGATGGGAGAAGGGGAAGACACCTAGAGTTCGAATTTACGAAGTGGTGGCTGGGGCACTGGTGGTTGGGCCAGTTTTCAAAAACAGGCTGAAGCATCAAAATATCGACCCCCGAATTCCTGACCACCGTTTCGTAGACCCAATTGTTGGTTAGCGGGGCGGGGGTCCTGCGTGGACTGCCTGCATGCCTGGCCAATCATCATGTGGTTCACCAAACGGTGAATCGGCCTTTTTGAATAGTTTCCATCTCCGCAAGCAGACAGCAGTACAGTAGGAGCTCGACCACAAGAAACCTTTCACAAGAGGTCCAACCTGCGAACCCTAAATAGGATGTTCATTATCTTTTGGTATGGGAGCGCCACGCGTTCCATCCATAACTAGCGAAACCATCGAAACCCAAGAAACCCAGGGCACCCTTGAGGCAAGCATTGCGTTTCTTGGCATGGGTTTCTACTGTAGACCGTTGATGGATAGGCGTTCCTTCAGACGGGGGGCGGAGGTCCCCAAGAGGTCTGTGGAGATCGCCAAGGAGGCCTCCGAGGGCCTTGGGAGGGCAGAAGGACGGGAGAAAAAGGGGACGGAGGACGAGGAGGGGAGGGAAGAGGGCGGGGAGGGCAAGGGGAGAGGAGGGCGAGGCAGGAGGGCGAGGAGGAGGAGGGCGAGGAGGGAGGAGGGCGGGGAGGGAGGGCGGGGAGGGAGGGCGGGGAGGCGGCCAGGGCGGCGGGCGGCGCCGTCAGCGAGGAGGAGGGCGCGAGAGGAGGGCGAGGCAGGCCAGAGGGCGAGGCAGGCCAGAGGGCGAGGGTGGCAGAGGGCGAGGCAGGCGGAGGGCGGGGAGGACGCCCCGGGGCGAGGGAGGAGCCCAGGGGAGGCCCAGGCTGAGGTCGGGCCTGTCCTCCTGCAGGCGGACTCTGGACACAAAAATCAATGAAGGATAGCCAGCACATATATATAATAACAACCACAACCACAACCACAACAACAACAACCACAACCACAACCACAACCACAACCACAACCACAACAACAACAGCAACAACAACAACACCAACAACACCAGCACCAGCACCAACAACAACAACAACAACAACAACCACAACCAACAACCAACCACAACCACAACAACAACAACAACAACAACAACAACAACAACAACAACAACAACAACAATCATTTTACCCGAACGCGTGGTGTTCTCCCCAGTGCCAGGGTTTTCATACGACACCAGGCAATACCCCCACTTCGTGGGGGGGCATTACAAGCTCTACCAAATATCCAAACGACTCTTCGCGACCACCCAAACCCAGCTTCCCGCCCTATGACGTTGGGACACTTCACTTCGTGGCGTGCGGACGACCGTGGCTACTACACTGGCGCGGGGTACACACCCACAGAACTTGGTCACTTTGGCGCAACCTATGGCGCAACCGCAAGGGATTATGGCCCCTGGCAGGCGCGCGAACCCCGTTGCAAGAGCGTGCGAAAGTAGCTCGCGCGAGCTCATGTAACATAAATGTTGGAAAACCATTGGTTTTTTAGGATTCGGACAGCGCGCGCGGGTGGAAATTTTGAAAAGTCGTGCAGGTGTTTTTCGAGGACCTACGGTGCGATTCGTGTGATTTTATGATGCGCGGTGCTAAAATTCTTAAGAACCCAATGGTTTTTGGAGATTTCGGCGTGCGCGCGCGAAGAAAAAACGAATGTGTCCCGCATGGTATTATTTGACAGGGATGATGGCCCTGGCAGGTGCGCAACCGTTGTCGCAGAAGTTCGAAAAAGTTGCTCGCAAAAGCCCGTTTGACAGAAATGTTTAAAAAGTGTTGGTTTTCCTACGAATCCGCAAGAGCGCGCGGGATGAGATTTTGACATTTTTTTGTTGAAAAACCATTGGTTTTTTTTTGATGTTTTTATGTTAAAATCGTTCCGAACACTAAGCTGTTGGAAGGATTTCGTCTTGCGCGCGCGAATGTCCACTTTACCTTATTTTTTGCAAGGGATTCTTGAAATTTGATTATATTAGAACAAGAAATGTCATTTTATAGTGTTTTTTGCAAGGGAAAACGAGCGTCAACAAAAAACCGGATCCGGACCTCATCCACTTTTCTGAAGCTTTCGCGAAAAAATGATGAAAATGTAGCTGCGGCCTAGGCGCGGCGCAGAGGTCGCGCACCAGGGGTCCCAACAATAATAATTCTTTAGAAGGAATAATGTTCAACAACAACAACAACAACAACAACCACAACCACAACCACAACCACAACAACAACAACAACCACAACCACAACCACAACCACAACCACAACCACAACAACAACAGCACCAACAACAACACCAACAACACCAGCACCAACAACAACAACAACAACAACAACAATCACTTTACCCGAACGCTCAGTGTTCTCACCAGTGCCAGGGTTTTCATGCGACGCCAGCCAATACCCCCACTTTGTGGGGGGGCAGTGCAAGCTCTACCAAATATCCACACGACTCTTCGCCACCACCCACACCCAGCTTCCCGCCCTATGACGTTCGGACACTTCACTTCGTGGCCTGCGGACGACCGTGGCTACTACACTGGCGTGGAGTACACACCCACAGAAGTTGTTAAGCCTACGTTCGTAAACCCACAGCGTGCGTAGAAAAAACGAATGTGCGCGCGCGAAAAAAAAAAACGAATGTGTCCCGCATGGTATTATTTGACAGGGATGATGGCCCTGGCAGGTGCGCAACCGTTGTCGCAGAAGTTCGAAAAAGTTGCTCGCAAAAGCCCGTTTGACAGAAATGTTTAAAAAGTGTTGGTTTTCCTACGAATCCGCAAGAGCGCGCGGGATGAGATTTTGACATTTTTTTGTTGAAAAACCATTGGTTTTTTGATGTTTTATGTTAAAATCGTTCCGAACACTAAGCTTTTGGAAGGATTTCGTCTTGCGCGCGCGAATGTCCACTTTACCTTATTTTTTGCAAGGGATTCTTGAAATTTGATTATATTAGAACAAGAAATGTCATTTTATAGTGTTTTTTGCAAGGGAAAACGGATTACAACAAAACAACCGGATCTGGATCACATCGTTTTACCTGAGGCTTCCTCACGAAAATGATGAAAATGTAGCTGCGGCCTAGGCGCGGCGGGGGGGGCGTGCACCAGGGGGCCCAACAAATAATTAACTTTAGACATAAATAATGTTTTCATACCACAACCACAACCACAACACAACCGCAACCACAACCAAACCACAACCACAACAACAAACAACAACAACCAACAATCATTTTAACCCGAACGCGCGGGTGTTCTCACCAGTGCCAGGGTTTTCCAGCGACGCCAGACATACCCCCACTTAGTGGGGGGGCAGTTTCAAAGCTCTACCAAATATCCACACGACTCTTCGCGACCACCCACACCCAGCTTCCCGCCCTATGACGTTGGGACACTTCACTTAGTGGCGTGCGGACGACCGTGGCTACTACACTGGCGTGGGGTACACACCCACAGAACTTGGTCACTTATTCGGGGCGCGCGTGTGCCCAGCATCCTGCAATTGTGACATACAGTACATGACACAGACAGACAGAGAGAGAGAGACAGAGAGCAGACAGAGAGAGAGACAGAGAGAGCGGAGTTGGTCACATTTTTGGGGCAAGTTCCTGAGATAGTCGTGTTTTTTGTTGGTCTTGCGCGCGCGAATGTCCACTTTACTTTTTTTTGCAAGGGATGTTGAAATTTGATTATGTAAGAACAAGAAAAAGTAGCTCGCGCGAGCTTATGTAACATAAATGTTGAAAAAACCATTGGTTTTGTGGGAGTCGGACAGCGCGCGCGGGATGAAATTTGGACATTTTTTTTTGAAAAACCATTGGCTTTTTGATGTTTTTATGTTGAAATCGCTACGAAACCTAAGGTTCTGGAAGGATTTCGTCTTGCGCGCGCGAATGTCCACTTTATTTTATTTTTTGCAAGGGATTATTGAAATTTGATTATGTTAGAAAAAGAAAAAGTAGCTCGCGCGAGCTCATGTAACATAAATGTTGAAAAACCATTGGTTTTGTAGGATTCGGACAACGCGCGCGGAAGGACATTTTGACAATTTTTTCTTAAAAAAACCATTGGGTTTTTGATGTTTTTATGTTAAAATCGTTACGAAACCTAAGGTTTTGGAAGGATTTCGTCTTGCGCGCACGAATGTCCACTTTACCTTATTTTTTGCAAGGGATTCTTGCAATTTGATCAAGTAAGAAAAAGAATTTTCATTTTATAGTGTTTTTTGCAAGGGAAAGCGGGGGGGAACAAAACAACCGGATCC